CCCCCCCCCCCCCCCCCCACCCCGAATTTTCCCAAGCGGTAGGTTTTTGAATCCAAATAAGTCCTTGAAAGACAACCCATTCGATTCACGAAAGGTCCACATCAGGGTTTAGCTATGTTTACAAGAAACATTCATACAGGCATATACTACCCCAAAACATACAGTAAAGGCCCTGCTTTGCAGTCTGGGGTAGGATGTGGGCTATCTGCAGGAGCTTTGGGCTTGGAGTCTGGAACGTGTGCCAAGCAAAGCAGTGAGGCCAGGCGTTAAGAGGCTACCCCTAACCCCCCAGGTGCCGACTAGATAGGGTACTAGAGCCCTCGAGGCCCTATATAGTAGGTACCTGGAGGGTTAGGGTACGATTGCAGCCTTATTTCAGCGATTGTCGGCTCACATCTTTGGGACATAGGGGCTCAGTCGTTCAGCGGTTGGTGCCAACCCATGCTCGAATCCGGATGTTGGGATGTTCCATGAACTGTGTAGGGCGTAGTTGCAGAGCCCGAACCGCAAACCCAAAGTGAATGCCAAGGAAATTTGTTCTGCGATCAGGGTTGCTGATACGAGCGGCCACGCAAGGCCCTGGCACATCAAAAACCCACCCTAAGCATCCTTAATTAAGCCAATGAGCCCTATATCATCGTAAACCACCAGGCCGTATACGCCTTTAAGCCCTAGGCCCTAGAGCTACGGCCGTCATGGTGATTCTCTCAGCCCACCTCTAGACTCTCGACCCGAAGACCCTAAACCCTAAACCCTAAACCTTAAACCCTACACCCTAAACCTTAAACCCTAAACCCTAAACCTTATAAACCCTAAACATTAAACCCTAAACCCTCAGAGCCGTGGCCACAAGAGCAGTCCTTCTGCCCCATGCAGCGTGCGGCGGAGTGGAGAAAGGCGGCCCAGAAACTGGGTTCTTGTTAAGGAATTTAGTTCAGAGTACCATACTAGGGATCCATAGTAAATAATAGGTTTTCCTTGTTATACTAACTTAACCCTAACCCCCCAGGACCTACTCTATAGGGTACTAGAGCCCCCAAGGCCCTATATAGTAGGTACCTGGAGGGTTAGGGTGAATTAAATCCCGTAACTAATTACAGTAACATAATCGGGATCCATAGTAAATAATATTTTTTACTTATTATACTAGTATTAAATTAAATCCCGTAAGAAGAACCCAGGAAAGGCTCTGCCGTTCTCTGTCACTCCGGAAGCCACGGTCGCGGAAGGCTCCGGGTTCGAGGTTTGGGGCTATAAGTCGTTTGGGGCTATAAGTCGGTTGTTAAAAGGGTTTAGGGTTTAGGATTTAGGATTTAGGGTTTAGGGTTTAGGGTTTAGGATTTAATTTAGGGTTTAGGGTTTAGGGGTCAACACCTGGGAGTTTAAGGTTTACAAGGGCTCTAGCGGGTTGTAAACGCCGTTTGTAAGGGCCTCACGAGAGTCTGGAACTCATTAGGGTCCGCAGTACTTATATAGGTAGTAGCTGAGCAGGTAGCCTTTAACCCTTTAGTGTATCTATAATCCTCGCATAATTGAAAAGGTTAAAGGTTAACACTTTTTGGGCTAGGTACTCAGCCTCTAAGAGTATGTACCCAACAATCAAGTGCTGGGGTATGCTATAATCGTCTAATCGTGGGTCAGTATTTGGAGGAGTAAAGGATCACGAGGCACTTGAACTCTCGGGTAAGGGTTCGGGGGTCTCGGGTTTTTGGATTAGTGTAGGTAGGATTTAGGGTTTCAGCGCAGGGGCTGTTGGAGGGGGCTTTGGGGCTAGTTCAGTGTAGGGTTGCTCCTGGGGTCCAACAATAACGTCAACTCAGAAATGCATGCCTTCTATGAGTTGAAGTATAGTATACTGCAGGGGGGGACGATTCAACTGTCCGGGAACAATGCCCCTAAGCCAGAAACCCCGAATCCAACAAGCCTCACCCAAAGCCCAATCTTTGCCCGGCCCGAAGTATCTGTGGGACCCCCTGGTAAACCCCGTCTTGGCAAAGCTGCCGGGTTTAGAGTTTGGGGGCTTTAGGGGTTTAGCGTTTCGCGGGATTTCGGAGTTATGGCGAAGCCCTCACCTTTAACCTAAACCCCTGAACAATCTTGTAACAGTTCATGGGCACATTGCATTGCTGGCTGGTCGCCTATGGCAACAACCGATGCCAACTGATGAGCCCCATGCACGGTCGGGTGAATTCATGGACAGAGATTTCCGCCGAGATGAACTCCTCATGGAAGGAAGCTTTGCAGCGCATGGCAGAGCAAGACCATCGTGAGGCGCCGAGACTGGCCAACGAGCTCCTAGGGCGTGCCGAGTTCTTGGCTCCAGTCGGCCACGGGTGATCGACAGAGTTGCGAGATCATCGACAGAGGGAGTCCCATGGCGGGGACACACGACTCTCAATTCGTTGAGAACCACTCGATCGCCAGAGAGAGTCGCCAGAGTCTGAGAGCAGTTGAGCTGACAGAGACACGCGACTCCAAAGTAATTGACATTCTTGATTCTCAGCAGTGGAGCCGCTGACGTCTGCTTGTCTTACGAAACCTGAAACCTTAAACAACCAAAAACAGTAGCATCCTAAGCCGCTTATTCCCTAAATCCTAAAACCGTTGACCCTAGAATCGCCTTAGATCCCCAAATCTTAAAGCCCGAAACCCTAGAATCCCAACCCCGAAGTCCCTACACCCTTCAATGGCCCCGAAGCTTAAAACCGAAGCCCTTTGGTGTTTGTAGGGCTAAACCCCCAAAACCCTAAACGGCGAATCCTACACCCCCAAACCCTGACCTCCCAGGTACCTACTATATAGGGTACCAGAGCCTCTCAGGCCCTATATCGTAGGTACCTGAAGGGTTAGGGAAACATTAACCTAAACCCTATAAACCCTATAAACCCTTAACCCTAAGCCCTAAACCCTAAACCCTAAGCCCTAAACCCTAAACCTTAAACCCTAAACAGGCAGAGGCGTGGATTGGCAGATGGATCAGGCGGTCATCCAGTGGTTCGCAGACCAAGTGCCCGAGCCAGGCTCTTCGGCTCCATGTGGGTTTTAGGGCTCTAGGGCTCTAGGGTTCTAGTGTTCAGGGTTCTAGGGTTCTAGGGTTCTAGGGTTCAGGGTTCTAGGGTTCTAGGGTTTTAGGGTTCCAGGGTTTAGGGTTCTAGGGTTTTGGGTTTAAGGTTTAGGGTTTCGGGGTTAGGGTTTGGGGTGTAACAAGACCATTGTGGGGATGCAAATTATAACAACAATAGTGTAATATACCCTAAATCCCCGTTCTAGTCGTGAAAGCCCCTGTATTGGGGGTTGCTGACCTTGTTGAGTTTCAGTAGGGTTCCTTTGCAGGGCTCTGCAATGTTTTTTTAAGGTTTCCAGAGTATGGGGTTTAGGGTTTATCTCTAGTGGGTGTGGATATATTCAAGCGGGAAGGGTCTTCTGAGTTATGCTTCGGGTTTAGGGCGCAGTATTCCTTCAACCATTCATGTTTGGGTGTAGGGTGCAATGCGCCCTAGGCCGAAGTCAAAAACCTGAGGCGAGGAGGATGACGCAGAATATTCGACTGGCCACTGGTCTTGCTTCTCGGCTCCTACACAAGGTTTCTATAAACCAGAGGGTCCAAGTATCCAAATAGTTAGAAGGTTTTCAGGTCTCAAACCTTCGGTTCTGATGGTACCTGACACTCTGACAGTTGGGCACTTTGCACCCTCAAGGGGTAAGTGTTACGGTTTCTGGGTGTTTAGGGTTATACCGAGGGCTCCTGTTGCGGATGTAGGGGGTTTAGGGTGGCGGGCTGCCGGATGTCGGGGTGAAATTCCTTGATTTTCCTCGGCGCTTCAGTTTCCGGGGGTGCCGGACTTACAAGGGTTTAGGGTTTAGGGTTTAGGGGTTTAGAGGTTTAGGGGTTTAGGGGTTTAGGGTTTAGAGGGTACAAGACGCCTCCACAGAGCTTGACCTCATGAAGCCCCAATCCCCCCCCGCCACGCCCCAAACCAAGCCAACGCCTCGAAGCCCCAACCCTCAAATCCCACAAGCCCTCACTGGAGGCATGTGAAAGCCGACAGCTCGAAAACAGGGTTTGGAGTGATCAGTACTACAATGGTATACGTAGCTATACCGTAATGGAAGTATTACTATTTTAGTTGTACAGTTATACCATAGCTCTACCATATGGGTAGTTCTCTACATTAGGGTGCCTTGTTTAGATCCCCAATATAGTACGGCACCCTTATAGAAGGACCCTAAAAAGGTACCCTAATTTAGAGAACTACCCATATAACAGACCCCAAAAAGCCTGCTCAAATTGTCAGAGATGGCTCCAAGCAACCTCAGCCGATGCCCTGAAATGCAGCAATCCACCTAAACCCCAAGCAATGGTTTAGGGGTTGACGGTGTAGCGTTTAGGCCTAGTAGTAGGGTAGGTAACCTTTAACCTTTTTGGGGTAGTACAATCCCTATATAACCCCTCTATAACCCCAAAGGTTAACTTTTAGTTCCCCATGATACCCGACAAGTAAGTAGGGGTACTCTCAAATTCGAAGAATAGGTACCTTTCTTTAGTTAATGGCTTGGGCATGGGATTTAGGGGTTAAGGGCTTCGATGGGTACCAGGATCCTGCTGCAACCATGACCCTTACCAAAGGCCTTTCACCCTAAACCCTAAACCTAAACCTTAAACCGAAACCCTAAAACCTAAACCTAAGCCCTAAACCCTAAACCTAAACCCTAAACCCCTACCAAAGGCTGAGGGTTCATCAATCAGTTGTTTGTCAACCTTCTACAGGCTCGCGTTGAAGGCTTTAGAGGGCTCCTTTGAGGGTTTAGGGTTGGGGGTTTAGGGTTTAGGGTTTAGGGTTTAACTTCAGCTATGAGTAGAACCAGCTTTGAACCTCAGACGACACCCCCCGAAATCCCCCAAAGCCGAAGTTCCAAACTCTACACCCGAAGCCCACTACCCTAAGCCCAATTCCCGGGAGCCCCATGCCGACACAACTACCTACAGCCAAGCTCAGTACACAGGTTGCAACACTATAGGTCTTAATCGTCTTAACCCCACCCCTACACCCCAAGCCCTAAACCCTAAACCTTCCCCACCCCTAAATCACCCTAAACCCACGGCTATGCCAAGTCTCATGAACAAGGCAGCCTTGCAACAAGGTCCTAAAACCTTCATGAAACGTCGAAACTAAACGAAGCGAAGTCCGTACAAATCCCAACAGAACTGTACCTATAGTTTCCATTGTAGTTCCTTTTTGGGGATACCTTATGGAATCCTTGTTATTTATTTGGTGAAACCGAAAAAAGGAACTACAATGGAGACTATAGGTAGAACACCACCACTACACCCTAAACCCTAAATCCCTAAACCCTAAACCCTAAACCTCTAAACCCTAAGCCCTAAACCTCTAAACCCTAAACCCTAAACCGTGTCCTCCGTCAAGTTTGGTATGTGCCGGCCGGGTGCTCTGGTGCCTTCAGCGCCGGTGGGGTGGCCCGGAGACAGGACCATGCACGGGTGCGTGAGGGGCGGCGGGTTCTCTCTAAACTGAGGTCGAGGAATAAGACAGATCGATGGATGGATGGATGGATGGATGGATGGATGGATGGATGGATGGATGGAGGGATAGATAGTTGTTGCGGATCTCTGTGGGGTTCATAGGATTTTGGTTCTGCAGGTGCAGGTATGGTGCGTTGTATACTCCATAATCATACTGCATGCGTGGGCGGTGTATCAAGTTGTCACCGCTTCGCCTCTGATTTCCGGAAGAGCTGGCAGGAACTCCCCTAAACCCTAAACCCTAAGCCCTAAACCCGAAGCCGTTGGCAGGAACTCTATCAGCACATCGTGAACATGTACCGATTGGGTGACCCCTGCACTCTGATGGTTCTTGCCAGACAGGCAGGGCTCTCATGCTTTTTGGGAACAAGGAGTAAGCGCTGAGCCCGCAAATCCATAAGCCTCAAAGCCTTAAACCCATATACCCCTGAACCCCAAAAGCCCAAAGCTCCTTATACCCTAAAGCCCGGATATAAGTTCTAAGTCCTTAAGCCAGAACCCTTAACCCTTAACCCTTAACCCTATAAACCAACCCCTTGAACCGTCAACCCACAGGCACATCCATTGTATCCCCTCTTCTTCGACCTTGACATCTTTGGAGGGGAATCCGATCGCTTTGAGGATCAAAGTGTACACGACGCCGCTCCCCGCTTGCTTTGGTTTGGGGTTCAGGGTCTAGGCTTCAGATGCTTTGGGAATTCAGCTGATTCTTTGGGGCAGTTTAAGGATTAGGGTTTTGGGGTTATCTTGATCACTCAGCCACTAAACTCTGCGCTCTAAAATCCTAAGTCCTAAGCCGAGTTGTACGGTGTAGCTTGTTGTCCTCAGGTCGCACATATCATAGGCATTCATTGCTCTCAAGCGACTGCGCCCGTTTCGTCGTGCACGCTTCTCAAAATTCATTCCCGACTGTCCAGCATCGCGTTTCCAAGAAGACAGGTGAATGTCTTGAGAAAATTTGGTAAAACACCACGGAAGTTGCCACCACGGTAGCTATGGATCGGGTGCGAAACCACTATCTGGGAACCTGCCAGTATTGTCGAGTCATATCATGATACATCATATCCTAAATCCGGATTTCCTAAGCCATATAATTCCTGTGTCCTAAATTCCTAAAGCATCAATAACAAGCTCCGGAAATCTTAAGCCCGGAACTTTCCTCGCAGCAGCCAGGACACACGTAGTGCCACAAAACAACCTTAACATGCTTTATGATATAGGGTTCAGGGTTGAGGGTATAGAACTTCCTTGAAGAATCCCTGACAAAGCCCGTCCAGCAGCCAAGATTTGGGGCTTTGGGGACATGCTGCTCCTGCGCGGCATGGCCTATGCCTTGCTGCAGATTTACCCTCAGATGGCCACCGGGATGGAGGCCGGAGGGAGTCTTACAAGCTGTGCACAGGGCGTTCATAATATAGGGCTTCTTTACAGGCTACGGCTTTCTACAGTATGATTTTCTCCCTAAGCCCTAAACGCTAAAAACCCTACTTGAAACCTTCTGAAACTTCCAGTTCATACCTAAACCCTAAAACCCCTAAACGGTAGACCCTTGACCCTAAAATCCTAAAGCCCTAAACCTCAAACCCCAAAGCCCTAAACCCAAAAGCCCTGAACCCTGAAACCCTAAACCCTTGGGGTCGTGGCTTTCTGAGCTCGTGGTCTTAGGGCTGAGGTTCTACGGCTCGCACACCACAGCCCCAAGCCTGCTTCAGGGGGTATTTTAGGCAACCGTGTTTAGGGTTTAGGGTTCATGGTTTAGGGTTTAGGGCTTAAGGTTTAGGGCAACCGTGTTTAGGGTTTAGGGTTCAGGGTTTAGGGTTCAGTGCTTAGGGTTTAGGTTTTCAGGTTCTTTGGAGGCTGATGCTTTGATATGTTGAATGGGGCTTGCGGTGTATCCCTAAACCCCTAAACACCCTAAAGCCCTAAACCCCTAAACCCGAAATCCTCTGACGGTGTCCGTAAAAGAAGGAACCAAGATCCGCAACCCGAAGCCTGGCGTTGACAGGGGCTCTTGGTTCCCAGTGAGTCGTAAGAGCATTATGTAGTTAGAGGGGTCGGGCTCCCTTCGGTTAAGGCTAAGGCGGCTAAGGGTTTACGGTTTGGGGACCTTTAGGTTTAGAGTTTAGGGTTTAGGGCTTTCAGGGGTCTTAGTACTAGAGAAGATAAGCCTAAGACTGCTTGGGGTATTCCAAGCCTTATTCTCCGAAAGGTTAACCGTAACGTTCCTCTTAGGATACCCGACAACAAGTCGTGGTATTGGAGGCGCTTGGGTTTGTGGGCTTGAAGGTTTTAGCGGCTCCTTCACAGGAAACCCCAAACCGCACTTTAAGTTTGTGCTGAGGGTTCTACATGAGATTCTTCAGGGACATGACTGAAAACCCTATCAGAAGCAGGTTTTTGGTCTACCTATACAGAGGTCATATTCGCAAGTCTAAATCCGAAAACCCACGACCTCATTCGCACTCTCCAACACCCCATGCCCAAAACAGATTCTGGGGCCGGTGTTCCTCCGGAAATCCTCTAAGCACAAAACTTCTCCTGCCGAACCTGAAGCTCGTGCCTGACCCCGAGAACCCCAAACACCTAAAAGACCCTAAACCCTAAACGCTCACGGTGTGAGGCCCGTGCCAGGCACTCCATCCTAGCCCATACTTCGCCCTTCGGATGTATGGTAGGAAGGCTTGGTAAGATGGCTTGTTAGGATTATTTTCGGTAGCATTGGTGTTATCTGGGATACGGAGTAGACTTGCTAAGTCCAACGAAACTCCAAACAACCGGCGGCTTTTCAGGTCGCGGTATTCCACTCCTCGGGGACACTGCGCTTGCGCTTGAGTTTTCGGAGTTCAGAGCGGTCAATGGTTTAGAGAGCTTCGGGTTTAGGGCGGAGACAGAAGGGTTCATTCAGAGCTTTTGGTTTGGGGTTTGGGGACTTCAGAATTATCGGATCTCTCCCTTGATCCCGATTCGTACCTCAGGCTACCTGAACTTCGGGGTTTGCGGGCTTGAGTTGTCTTACTTCACTAATGCTCCATGGGTCAAGGTACTCAAATAGTAGGGTTTTAGGTCCTCCCAAATATATACTGTTAATGATTTCTGGCTCCAAAAACTCATGTTTAGGGTAGTTGGGCCCTTGGGGTTCTTCAGATTCAGGTGACCTAGGTGTGACTGTTGCCCTCGTCGGCTATCGGCTGTCGGAATGGCGCTGGTGAGTATTGTTTCGAGAGTTGTCAGCAACCCTGCTATGACTACGGCTATGACTACAAGTATGGCAACGGTGACGATATCCCAAACGACGGCTTCCAACGCCGTTGCTCCGACGACGATGGCATTGCTGCCAGCGACGCCTACGAAAGTCAAATTTGGACAGCTGCACCTGTTCTACACTTCCTCTACGTCGACGATCACGACTACTAATACCGCCCAATGTAGTATAGGTAGTTACTATGTACGAGTACTGTCTAATATCTATGACTAGTACCCATCTATACTACCTACTACCTGCTACCTATCGCACAATCTCCACTACTCGCTAGGACAACTACTACAACGATTACTACGTCCACCTACTACTACTACTACTACTACTACTACTGCTGCTGCTGCTGCTACTACTACTACTACTACTACTACTACTCCTGCTACTACTGCTACTACTGCTACTGCTACTGCCACTGCCACTGCCACTGTTGCTGCTACTACTACTACTACTACTACTACTACTACTACCACCACCAGACACTCCAGACTGCCGTAATCAAGGAATGTGCGTTAAACTCTATTCGGTATCCCGCCACCTTTCATGGTAAATGCCTTGATTAAAGAGCCCAACAGCCATCAATTAAGAGACCTAGTCGCTGGGCATGGAGACTGCAGGATGAGTCAAGAGAAGCAGCGCTTCAAGGCATCCTACCACGTCATCTTTCCGGAGATCATCGTTGATCGGCCAGCTACTCGGCTTCCGCCTGCTAGCTTGCATGGCCTACAGTCCGGAAGGCTGCACTTACGTGTGCAGGCCCTAGTACTAGAGTAGGTAACCTTTACCTTTTTGGGGGTTTAGGGTTTAGGGTTTAGGGTTCGGGTCCTAGTAGGTACTAGAGTGGGTAACCTTTAGCTTTTTGGGGGTACTATAATCCTAATATACCCCGAAAGCTTATCCTTTAGTTTTTCCTAGGATGCCGGACAAGTAGGATGCAGTCCACTACCTCCGAGCCTTTGTGCTTGGTTAGCCGTCAGTAAATACAGAAGACTCGCATGTCAAGTCCGAGGGCAGTAAAGTGGTGCAGTGGAGACGCACAGCATGTGAGAAGTGCATATAGAGATAAATAAATATGTAGTCGGCAGCTGCAGTTGCATGGAGGAAGTAGCCTGCCTACATGAGTAGCCTGGTGGGCTTCACTGGAAAGCTACATGTTGAAGGGAGGCTTCAGGGATTCAGGGCTTGAGGGCCTGGGATTTTCACTTAGGAAGACCACCCTAAAAACCCGAGCCAACCCAAACTTAACGCCTAAATCCCCAGCCGCCCCAAAGCTCCATCTGCCCTAGACTCCGCACCCCTGAACCCCCAGACCCTCTTTGACCTACCCCAAACCCCAAAGCCCTAGACCCTAAACCCCCAAACCCCTAAACCCCTAATACTAAGCCACTAACCCCTATAAACCCAAGACCCTAAACCCCCAAACCCCCCTAAACCCTAAAATCCCCAAACCCTAAACCATCTTAGCCCCCGACCCGGATCCTTCGACTGCGCTGGACCCAGAAGCGTCACTGCCCTAATGCAGGGGCCTCAATAACTAGAGGGGTATCCTTTCCCAATTTTATGATGAAGAACCCCATAATTACCTATAGGCAATTATTAAGGCCCCTGTATTTTGGCCTTATGCCGCCGTCAGGTGATGTGTACGGAGAAGAAGATGCCAGGAGCAAGCCCTCTGAACCCTAGCCCTACCCCCTTCGCCACAAACCCACAGAGCCGAAGACCCAACATCCCCAAACAAAGCCTAAACCCCAAAGGCTTAAAGCTTAAAGCCCACAGTCCTAAACCCAAAAGCATGCCAGCTTTACATTATTATTTCGATTCCAGTTACATTCGTGGTGGTAGCTAGTTGTTTACGGACATTCAGATGATTTAACTGGTTTATTGTTATTTATTTGTTTGCTGATATTAAATTTCCAGGAGAGGCAGGGGCGAAGCCCAGCGGCCACCTGATCTGCCGGCAGCATTTGATCTGCGCCTCGGCTTGATCTGAGGCTGAAGGGCTAGGTTTTAGGGTTTAGGTTTTAGGGTCTAGGGTTTAGGGTTTCAGGGTTTAGGGTTTAGGGTCTAGGGTTTAGGGTTTAGGGTTTACGGTTCGATTGTTGCAGGTTTCAAGGTTCAGGGTTTCAGGGCTTCCTACAAGTAGGTTGACGGTACTCCAGAAGCCTGAATACGTACCAATGCTATTTCTTGGGGCTCCTGAATAAGTATGAGTTTATGAAGCCCTAAACCCTAAACCCTAAACCCCAAACCGAAAGGCGTGTTTATACAATACCTTGTGGGTCATGCCCTTCCCTTTCTTTGGGTGCGTACTTTTTCTATAGCATAGCAGGCCCTGACCATAAGAAAGGGACTTAAGATCCCTGCAGGGGTTTAGGGTTTAGGGTGTAGGATTTATATAAGGTTTAGGGTTTAGGAATTAGGATTTAGGGTTTAGGGTTTGGGGTTTTGGGTTTTGGGTGTACAGTAGAAGCCAGAAATTTGGAACATCTTGTGCCTCATGCCCTGAAGGTGAAAGTGTAGGGAATCCTAGTACTAATCATACTTGCTTCGTCCATGTGCCAATTTTCTGGTTTTCACTTTAGGGTTCTGGGTTTGGGGTTCGGGGGTTTGGGGCTTCTTGAATTAGAAGGCCGCTCTGGGGTTCGAGGGTTTCGGGCGTTGGGGTTGAGGGCTTAGGGCTTTAGGGGTTTAGGGCTTAGGGCTTTACTTCGTAGTTCGTACTTACAGGATCAAGCAAGTTGGTAAGTAGTGGGTGATTGCGGTGTATCGGTGTATCATTATGGTAATTACACCGCTGCTACAATAAAACTACACTGCAGTCACAATTACTTGTTAACCTATTCAGAAGGCTTAAAAAGTCCAAACCCTGATTCTTTAAAGTGCAATTTTTGGGCCCCTGATGTTACCAAAAGCTCCCAAATCGACACACCGAGTCCGAAGCCTGCTCTGAAAGCTTTGTTAGATCTAAAACTCTTGACCCTCGAGGCCCTAGAGGCCCTAGAGGCCCTAGAGGTTGGGGTGAAGGGCTTAGGGTTCCTAAATCCCTATACAGACTCCCTTGCAAGCTATACCCCCCCCCCCCCCCAGTTACCACAAAACTAAGATCCGCAAGTTCAGGTGCTGTTTCTGTTTTTTTTTTTTTTTTGGGGGGGGGGGCGCCCTA